GAAAGTACCTGAACGTTGTGCGAGAATGTGGCGGTGTTGACATTAGCCAAAAAGTGACGGACGTTCCTCATACACTAGATGATCCCCGGTTCCTAGACAATGTCAATGCGGCGTACACCTATGCCAATGCGTCCCTGCTGAACCTCCTTCTCACTAAGAACTCGCTCACGACACGCTTCCGGTCTCTCAAACACTACTTCTTTCTGGATCGCTCTGACTTCTTCTCGTACTTTCTTGAGCTCGGCTCGTCAGAGCTGCGCAAACCAGCCAAAATCGTCAATGAGAACAAGCTTCAATCGCTGCTTGATTTAGTACTACGTCAACCCGGCAGTATTGCAGCTTCTGATCCCTTCAAGGAGGACGTCAAAGTGCGGATGAACAAGATTGGGCTAACAAAATGGCTGATGCAAGTGGTGAGCGTCTCCGGTATCGACCAAGACAATCCCGAGGCGGTTCTCGAGAGATACCAGGCTCCTCAAACACAAGGTGGAGAGGATGACAAGGATATTGTTGGTTTCGATGCACTGGAACTCGATTACTCCGTCCCCTTCCCCCTGTCACTCGTCATAAGCCGCAAGACTGTCCTTCGATATCAACTGATATTCCGACACCTTCTCTCGCTGCGCCATCTCGAGACTCTGCTAGTGACATCTTGGTTAGATCATAACAAGGTTATCGGCTGGCGTCACAAGTCTTCTGATCGCAGACTGGAGATGTGGAAGAGGCGCGCATGGAGTCTGCGCTCCAAGATGCTTGTATTTGTCCAACAGCTGCTTTACTTTTGCACAGCAGAAGTTGTCGAGCCAAATTGGCAGAACCTGATGGATAGAGTCAACGGCACTGATGCTGATGGGTCGGAAGTGACGATCAATGGCACCAAGCAGGTCAATCGGACGGTGGATGAGCTTATGCAGGACCACGTGGATTTTCTAGACACATGCCTTAAAGAATGCATGCTGACCCAGGCCAAGCTGCTGAAGGTCTGTCCCATACTGTGGCTTAATTGAAGGGTTGCTAACTAACTTCGGAAACAGATCCATTCGAAGCTGATGACCTGTTGCACTATGTTTGCGTCCTGGACCGCTTCCTCCCTTGCACGAGCTTTGGCTTCTGCTGACGTGGACTTGTCCGGGAACAATGCGTCTAATCCCGATGGTAGAGGCTATGACCCGACACGGATTAGCAAATTAGAGGACACTTTGAAAAGATACGAGGACCATTTCAACCGCCATCTGCGCATCCTAATGGACAGGTATGGAACTGCCCAGAATACAGATCTTGAATTTGGTCCCAATGAATACTGATTATCCTTGACTATAGCTTGAACTACTTTGCTGCGACGGAAAGTGTTGTCCTTCTCAAATTGGCCCACGCTTTGAGCTCAATCAGCAAAGACGATTGAACGTCCTACCGCTGATGTACCTGGCCAACCACACTATATACCACCATCGCAGCGTGCTCTTGCATGCTTAACACTTGCGAGATTCGAGATCAGATCCTCTCGTAATCATTGAACGATATCCGTCAGTGCTCAGCAGGTGCGATACAGCTTCTTCTATTTGAAGAGCACCTTTGCGCAGCCAAATCTAGCACTGGGCCCCAATCCCAGTTCGTGTCTGCTGTGTTATCAAGCTGGAATGACTTCGACCGATGACTCTAAGAGAATAGTTCGGTGTCTCGCCGATCGTAAATTCTGTTCTCTTGCAAGTTTACAGATACGACGGCTTCACGAAGATGACTACTTCGTAAACATGCATATCATGATGACATATGGCTGGAAATGGAAGCGAATGAACAACATGAACATGAAATTCAATTTAGATACCCTGATGCATGTTTTAATTTGGCTTCCCAACAAATACAACTATTGAAACAAGGCTTTCCATGCTTAAACACAACATTCTATCTGCTCTTAACTTTGTATTAATCCTTTCCCCCGGGACTGCAATCTGACAGTTCCTTACAACGTACTCCAACGAGAATGGAACCGACTGGTAATCGAGTTCGGTTGGGAAAACGGGGACAACCTGTATTTCTTGCTACGGACAACACAGGTCACAGAATAAATAAGCAAATTAATGCACTTATCTATAGAAAAGAAAGCCGAGTAACGAGCCACATCGGCACAGAAGATTAGTCCAGTATACATGGCCACTCCAGTGCGACTATTACTTCGATCGAAACAGGGATTAATGTAATCAAGTATTTCGTGCGTATGTGCTCTTCTCACGCAATCGTTCACCATAAAACCACAGGAAAAATGGTGAAGGAATTCCAATGAAGATTGCAATGAATGCCAGTAGACTGTTGCCCCAAGCAAATCCGAGGGTAGTATATCTTTCACATGTCAGCAGAGCTGTTTACAAGCCGTGGGGACAGGGAGAACGTACAGACTGGGGGCTATCAAGGGCAATGCAAACCCTAGCAGACTTCGTAGAACCATGACGGCGGCCATGGCACTTGCGGCAAACAGCTGGTATGTATCAATGAGGTAGCCTTGGACGCAAACCAACTGCACGACAGTAGAACCAGCGTAAATGGCGGCGCCGATATTACTTCTCGGATCAGCGATATCCTCCTAGGGTAGATTGATCGTCCACAAGGGAATACTTACGGCATGATCCAGTGAATGCTCTGTCGGGCACTCCAACCGTACCAGAAGAGTCCGAAGGGGACAATGCATGCTCCTGCACAGAGAATCGGCAATCGAAATTCAGGCCGAGCCACCCCTCCATTATTAGCACGCAGTCGTTGGTACACGCGGTCGGCGATCCGAGTCCCCAGCTGCATTGCGATAGCCATTCCAACCGTGAGAGATATATAGTTCAGCGATCCAATCGATTCCGATTCATGATAGATCGTCGTCCAGACGTCCGGGAACGTAGCAACCATCAGGTATAAGATGCCGTTGAGATACGCCAGATACAGACTCAGCACCTGGATGATGGGCTGCGTGGCCAGCAGACGGAATGGTCGGATCAAGTTCTTGTGCAGCAAAGCGGTTGAGGACATGCCATCGTATTCGGTGTAGAGGTTGTGGTTTCCTGTGATCTTGCGCATTCGAGCACATTTCCTTCGCAATAGAACAGGACCGTATGTCTCATGAAGTAGGAAGAACGCGGCAAGCTGGACAACAGCGGCAGCGATTGAGACCACATAGAAGCACCATGGCCAGGACTCATACTGAACAAGGAATCCTCCGGTGATGGGACCGATAGCAGTCCCTATGAGTGGAGCCAGGGTGAAGACTGCCATGGCCTTCCATCGGTCCTGTGGAGGGAACAGGTCACTGTTCATGCCGCTCCCTATCTACACATAGCTCAGATTAGCACTGGTGGGCAAGGAACGTATTAGAGATACGTACTCCGAAAGGACCAGCACCCCCTAACCCGGCCAGAAATCGATATGCAATAAGCTGGTTTTGAGACTTGGCAATCCCGCAAAGAGTATTGAAGATGATATAGAAGATGTTCGCAGCGGAGAGAATCATGACTCGTCCATACGTCTCGGAGAGAGGTGAACTGACGAGAGGAACTATTGCACTACCGAGCAGGTACACAGAAAGACTCATGATGAGCAGTGTTTGAGAACGGATCTTGAGATCATCGGCGATGGCCTCCAGAGCCGGGGCAACCGTGGCCGAGGACATTGAGCTCAAGAGATTGAACAGGGACACAGGAATGAAAACCATCCATTTTCGACTCGCAGGCCAGTTTTTCGGATTCTCAGGGTCGTTGGGACCATCCCACGTCACCTACCCGACACTTTCTGTTAGATTTGAAGATTGTTCCTCCTTGTATAAAGAAACCTGCTGCCACGAGGGGAGGCTCACCAGATTTGGATCAGGGGCTGGTCTTCCAGATGAAGAAGAGGAAGCTCCGACAGGCTGAGATTGAATCTGAGCATTACCGTCTCCTTTCTCATCAGAGGGAGCCGATGCTAATGGGGTTGCCATGCTAGCGAAGAACGGATATGAACCTATAAGTGACCATAAAGAAGACCAGGTTTCCGTTTGAAGTAAAAGGTGACTGAACCAAGGTGACCCCTATTTGTTCGACTCTTGAATATGCGATGCGTTCATGGCTGCCTTTGTTGATTTCACGAGAAGTCAAGCAGACCTGGAAAGTTAAGGAGACAACGTAGGGTATCGATGTGCTCTCAAAGACATCCCAGTCGACTGAGTCTTGATTGATTGGACGCTAGAGCCTGACACCTATATAGCTCATCGCCTATCATTGTTAGTGTCCTCTCAAGCATAGGTAGCCGGGTGGGGATAGACACGGACGCTACAGATGCTTGTCTGGACGGGGCAGAACGAAGCCTTTTTTAGCCGTGATTGGCATGCTCGGACAAAGCGAGTCATGCATCCCTGTCTAGCTGTTTAGGCTGTGATTGAGGATCGGTTGCGAGGATCGGTTGGGTGTTGCTGGTGTTGCGTCCGGTTGGATGTGTCCATAACTTCCACATCCGATCAGTTTGTCCATCAGGAGTGCCAGAAAGCCAATATTATCAATATCTGGAGACCCTATAGTCGAGAGGGATGAGACAAGCCAGTGTCGTGCGCATATCTCGAGTTGATTCTTTGTGACGCAGAGTAAGCACTAAGAGTTCTCCCCCTGGTTTATCTCCCACGCAGGAGTCAAATACATGCAACGCTAAGTCACCCACGTTGCCTGTTTGGGATATCAGGACTTTTGACTGAGGTAGCCTTGTGGTTATCCCAATCAGAGCATACATGTAGAGGTTTAGAGGAGATATATAGGGAAAAGACATCATGGAAGTGTCAGTATGCACGGTAGCGATAGTGTGCTGGTAACCATTATATCATACAAGTTACTGTGAATGTCTTCGACACCATACCAAACACTTTACTAAGCAAAGAAACAACTAACTACAACCACATAACGCTCTCCAGCCTATCGTGACTACATCAACAACGTCTTCCTGCTCCATTGGATCCTTGTATTACGACCTCCCAAACTGCCGATCGACCCTACAAAATGGCCGATGAGTTGTTGATCACGTCCAGTCCAATCTCAGATTCGCAGATATCAGAGACCGATAGCGTGCCCAATGAGGTTCAGGCCATCATAAAAGACTACGTGCCATTAGATGGCAATGACAACACCAAGGAGATCCTTCGCGAAACTTTCAAATACCTCCCGCCAGATGGGAGGGCTCACCTGGTTGAAGACATCATTGAGGCTGCGGAAAACGATACATTACGTCAACTTTCTCGCGGCATAATTTCAGGGCTCCTAAAGCCCATGAAGGTTGCGGGGGCCGTGATGGCCATGGCTAACATCACGCCTTCTCTGCGCCATAGCTTGGACGAGTCAATTGAAGAGCCCGCGACCATGACAGACGAGCCCATGAAGTGTCAGCGGACAATGCTCCGAGAGGCAGCGATGCTTAGAGAGGGGAACAAGTGCATCATATCAGGTTTCTATGATCTTAAATTGATCAAACAATACCCTGACGAAGATTGCGAAGACTTAGAGGCGGCACATATTGTGCCTTTTTGTCTCGCTAAGTGGGAAAACGACCATGACAAACGCCAGAAAATGGCTGTTTGGGAAAATATCTTCCACTATTTTCCTAGCGTCAGCACCCTGTTAAACTTCTACTACCGGGACATTAATAGCCTCCAAAATGTGATGATGCTCTCTTTCTCTCTTCACAGATCATTTGGAAAATTCCATCTAGCGCTCGAACAGACCGGCATACCAGATCAGTATCATATCACCACCTTCAGTGGGTTTGCACCAGTCTATCGAGGATTTCTGCCACAGAATCGAATCGTCACGATGAGAGCCCACGATGGGCGCATCCCGTTGCCTTCGCCTACTTTGCTTCAAGTCCACTGTGCCATTGCGCACATACTCCACGCCACCGGCGAGGGCGAGAAGATCGAAAAAATCCTGGATGACTCCGATGCTATTGTTGGCCTTTCTGCCAGCGGCAGTACTGATGTCGCAGAGCTCTTCAAAGCGCAAATACCGAAGAGTCAAAGGGGAAGTCCACATCGGACGCTTCCATTGGTACCCTATCCCAAACGCCTTGAAGGCCAGTGCTCCGCAACCAGATACCAAAGCCCTGGCGATCCAGCAAATGAGGCCTTTTGCAGACCCTTCACTGGAGTGTGACGGCCTCTTTCCGGAGCTCCCTGCAGACCAAGTCCAGGTCGAAATGAAGGCAGTTGGATTAAACTTCACAGACGTAACTGTCTTTGTGAGTTGACGGCCCTAAAAGCGGTCATATTGGACGCTGGCAGCAGTGTTCTCCATCTACCAGGATTTTGGCCATGAGTGGGATTTTTATAGCCTCTGCACAGCGAATGATGGCAAATGTAAAGGATGCTTTTATCGGACCTGAGCCCCGACTGCCTCTTGTCTTTTTTTTTTTTTTTTTTTTTTGCAGTTCAAGCCGGAAATCATTGTAAAACGGCGGGTCGCCCAATATCACACAGTAGGCAGGGAGAACATAAGGTAGACGTCTCCCCAGCACTGCAAGAAGAAATCCTTCTCTGCAGAGGTGGAAGACCTGCTAAGGACTACATAGGCGCACAGACAACACTGAAAGGCTTTCATGACACGAAGCGGGTGATTTAGTTCATTTAGTTCTCCGTACTCCTGGCCAGTGCAGCTATGTAACGCCGGACCATCGGCTGCACTAGACACGCCAGCGGCCCCAGCTGCCGTTTCTTCTCGAGCAGTGAACCATGGTTCTGGAATCGCTATCATTGTTCTGACAGGCTTCGAAGCTCTCATTTAATGTTTCGAAATGAGAGCGAGACCCGAGAGCCTGGATCCTTCCAATCTGAGGCCATGAAGCCCGTAGATCGCCCGTACGAAACCCCACGGCAAGTGTTTGCCTTGAATTTATACCACCACCCCCTCCGCGCTAGGATGGACTCGACTGGAGGAGTCTGTGATCCAGCCCCATATTTGGTTTCAGAAGGCTTTTCAAGTCACCGTTTTCTCACTAGACAAGCCCATTTGCTTCTCATATGCTTCTGACTGCCCCAAAGACCAGTGGACGTCATTGCCCCGCTTTAGAAACAGCAGCAGACCAAGCATGCCCGTTATCCGCGATTTTGTTCGTCATCCAATCACATTGGCTGAAGTCGTCAGGATTGTTCCATTAGCACACCAACAAGAAGCGGTGAAGGAGCGAGGTGATAGCGGCATCGAGTGCCAGGAAAACGAATGGATATGAGAAACAGTGAGTCGTAAGAAGAATAGTTCATGCACTCCATACTCATATTCTCAAGGATGAGCACTTATGGGAATGAGGCCCTATGAGCAATGTGTACTGTGTAGTTACTTTCTTTTGAACCATCTGCGCATTATTGCTGATCTCCTTTCCTCCTATTTTCGTACATGAGGAGCCCTAAGCCACTCTGACCGTCTCCCCACTCAGCTCGTTCGTCGACGCCGTCATTAGTTTACCTCCGTGGAGGTCTTTTCGCATTCTTGAAGTCGAACGAGCAAATCTTTCGATCCACAACCAGGACTGAGATGCAGGCATGAGTGAGAAATTTATCATCTGATCGCCGCGACACTGACTGCTGAAATTAGACAAGGTTCCATAGTGATTGAGGATTACCTTGCATGCGCGTTGACTTTTCATGCAACGACCCGTTAGTCCAGAAGACGCTCCGCGTCCCTGCATTGTCTGTGGCTGATTTCTTTGGGAGTCAACGCAATACCGTAGCCTTTCGTGCTTCTGTAGTGATGGAACCAATTTCTCGGTCGTTTCTTGTCCGCGGCTGTAGCCTCTGTACGCCATGTAAGTGCATGCAGGCTGTCGCGTAATCAACATTTTGGTGGGTATTCGGGTCCATTGCGTAACTCTATACAATGCATGAAGGTGCATCAGTTAGCTGGTCCGAGTCGTCGCGTTGAATTCTCGAGCGAAAACAGCTCTGAGACAGACGAAACTAACCGGTGGGAGCGCCAATGTCTTGCTCACAGGAAACGGATCAGTCTGGCGTTCTTCATCAAGTTCTAGGAACAGAGGTTGCAGGAGCTTCGAATGTCCGTAACACAGTCCCAAGACTCCCAACTTGTCAGGTAACCATTTGAAGCTCGATAATCGATTTAGTTCAATACCCAGCAGCCCAAGCCACAGCGAGGACCCTAGAGATCTTCCTCTGTTTGATCTCGTCGGCATCAGCGGCCCCTCTGGGAGACACCGCCGACCCCTCCTTTCCCTGCAAATTTGCTTGGAGGTCAGACTTAGTCCGAATACGGTAATCAGGCTCGCTCTTGTCGACAATGAATACTATCGTTCCTTGAGGTCACAATGTAGTAGTGTGGCTTAGAGACCAATACAGCAATGATGCTTGTCCGTTTGTAGCAGTTTTGGTTCACTGCAGTTTTGCCAACAGCGTTGTTTTGTCCCTCCGCGCAACAGAGGAGCCAGGATTTGGGCAGAGCGGGTTTTCCACCATCCGCACATTTAGTAAGAGCCTCGAGTCCCGCAAAGTACGCTCCTAAGACGTCCCATGGGGAGAACATAAGCTCTTTTTGTCGTCTGAATCGAGCAGAGAAAGCTCTGCGATAGTATCTTGTACCACGTCAATCGCTTCCAGCTACAGGTCCCTTCCCAGATATCGTTTCGTGTTCGCTTCCTCCTACATACCCGCTCGACATCGGCTTCTCGCCGCCCCTCATCGAACATTTCGAACCAGACACACAGAGACAGCAGGCTGTTGAACAACATCGAAGAACCATAGACGGCATGACGTACTCCCTCCGAAAGATCACCTTGACCACATGAATGCGAGGACGCGCTGACACTTCCATAACAAGGAGCCCTGATTCAGAGACGGAGGAATTGGACGAAGTATACCTCCACACCGTGACGATCCATGGACGAGAATTCCACAAGTTCTCCATCGACAACCAGATAGCGTTTGAGCCTGTTGACGATGTATGGCCGCGGTCCTTTCAAAATTTGGCAAGCGTTGACCGTTGTTCATTATCAGGAAGAAGCAGAACGTCTCGACCTCCAGCATCGAGTGTTCTCTAGGATCTTCGACGGCCGACTGATTTTTCCACCGATCGGTCGACTTCGCAGAGTACTCGACTGCGGTTATGGCGCTGGATCTTGGGCAGTCGATGTGGCTACCCAGTATCCAGATTGCAAGGTGAATATCGTCGCACTTAAAGCGTTCCACACACAGTGGCTGATAAATTTGGCGTGAGCAAGGTAATCGGTCTTGACATATCTCCGCACAAGAATCCGGATGACATGCCTGAGAATCTATGGTTACAGGTGGGCAGAGACTTCCAATAATCCAGAGATGGACGCATAGCTGCAGTACTTAGGCTGCACAGGGCTCCTGGAGGCGTCAAGCTGACCTCTCATCACCAGGTCGACGACCTCAATCGCCGATTCACCTTTCCCTCCAATCATTTCGACCTTGTTCACTCAAGGCTTCTTGCAACTGGCATCAACAGAGTCAGATGGCCGTCCTACCTCGCAGACATCAAAAGGTGCGCTCTCTGCTAAGCCATGGTCGTTGGCCTTCTGGCAAACTACAAAAGAAATGGCCGAAGGCTGACTTGGTCAAATTCCTTAGGGTCTTGAAGCCAGGCGGATGGGTACAATTGACCGAAATATACTTCAACGTTCAATCGGACAACGGCTCGATTACCGAGGAACATGCTCTGAGACGATGGAGCACACAGTTCCTGAGGTCATACGAAGGAACAAAGGATGTGCGTGTAGGAACACGGTTGAACAATCTTCTTCGGGACAGAGGTTTCGAAGATATTGACGCGAGAATGATTCCTCTTCCTCTTTCGGCGTGGTCCACTGGTGAGTCCTCACTTCCCGTTTCGTTTGCGGGCTGCTCAACCGGTGTGCTAGACCATAGAATGCGAGAAATCGGCATGCTTAACCGAGAGAACGTCAATAACCTCCTTCCATCATTGGCACTGTACCCATTGACACAGATTTCTGGCATGCCTCAGCAAGATTTCCAGGAACTCATTACTCAAGCACGAGAAGAAGCGGAAACAGCGAGCCTGAAGGCATACTTTCCCTTGTAAGTGACCGCGGATCGGCCATTATGTCTCCCTTCTGATGGTTCAGGTACGTTTGCATTGGACGAAAGCCAGGATAGCTGCTCTGAAATTGAAGAGGAAAGAAGGTCGATGGATCGCTCTGTTTTGTGTTTCAAGAGCTGACGGGGCGCTCACGGTTCGGTTCACCTCGAGGCTCACTCATTCCTGGAATACGCAAAGTGAATCATGTTTGCCCGTCGTCCGATTAGAGATCTTGGTTTATACTAGCTCTGAGAACTGAATGAGACAGAGGTCGGTCAGTCAGTGTCTTTTTCCCGATTTGTTTCTGAACTTTATGCCTGCGAGACAGAATATGAACATCACTGGTTAGCATCTGGTTTTGTTCGACAACATTGAGTTCGAAGCATTATGAGCTGAGGATTAACACCGTGGATCAAGCAGTGGCTTTAACCCTGCTGTTCTGTAGCATGATCAGCTTCCAGAGATACCGAGACCGGTCTTGACACGCGCCGATAGCTCGTCATCAATGTTCATTTTACCCAATACGTCAGTGAACCCATCATTCGAGAGGACTTTCTGTGAATCTTCAGCAAAGCAGCCTGAACGACCTTCATGAGGACGATATGCAGCTGATTAGGCGCTAGGGTACTGTTCTCGAAAACCAAGCATCTACCATTGCGAGCTTGGTCTATTATTGGAAAGACATATAAGATATTGGAGATTGGGCAACCTCTCCAAGCAGATGAAATTGAATAAACAACCCCTGGCAGAGCAACGATGGATACTCAAAGGGAGAAGTGAGTAAGGAAGAAAGAGGAGTGAAGGGGCTTGAGAGATGGGACCGTCGCGGGTCCGGAACCTGAACCAAACTGACGGGACGCTGACTATTTAACCTTACCCTGAACCAGACCGCGAGCGAGAATGGAGATCTGCATTCCAGACGACCAGATAAACAACCTAACCTCTCTGTCTGTCTTCTCTCTATAACATGCGATTGAATAGCTGCGCGTCTGGAGTTTTAGAATCTGTCTAACTATCAAGTTCGGGATAGCGTCATGCCAACCCCACGTCTGCTATCTACCCTCTGAGGAGATCCTCTTCAGTGGTGTCCGCATTAGCAGTTTGGCGGTTCAGAGTTTTTAATGCCCACTGAGGGCCCGAGAACCCTACAAGCTCGGAAACATGACAGACTGAATGTGCACTGCCCAGGTCCTCAACGCTCCGCGGCTGTTCTGACATATTTTTCTTTCGGCTCTGAGTCTCCCTACCCTTTTCACCAACAAGTAACCTCGTTGACCGTCAATAACGGAACGGGATATCCTGATTGTTACTGAGTCTAGTGGGAATAATATATCAGGAGGGCCTAGTCAATGACCTTGAGTCATGGATACGGCATTGTACTGAGAAGGGCGAGATGGGATATTACCGAAATGGCAAGTGTCCAATTTTGTCAGGACGACATGACGACTAGATCTAGTCTACAGAGGAAGGAGAATCAAGGCCACAGTATTAGAGAGGCTTGATGGATCAATCTGCTAGTTTTATGGCAATGTGACGAGTATATTGAGGCAAATTGCACCCATCTTCGCGACACTCCATATAGGCATGCTCAATACTTATTCGCACATTCCAAAATCCTCCGTTCGGGCCCAATAAGGAGATATAATAATAGCAATTATGACAAGTAAAAGAAGCGCACACTCGAGTTGGCTCAACTCTGACCATGTCCAGAGCACACGTTGGTGATCCCGCGTTTGGGCGCTTATCGGCGCAAATCATCTCTGTTGGTGCCCTATCGATGCCTGAATTATAAGGCTGTAACAATATCCCAATGGGGTAAGTGTCCGCGCTCCTGGGCGGGGAGAAAAAAAGTTGGATCCAGCTTGAATACCGATCATTATCTTTTGACAGCACGCATCTGCTGTTGATCAACGCAACTCGGACTCAAGATGCCTTCCACATACAAAAGGGAGAAGCCGTGGGATACGGACGATATCGACAAGTGGAAGGTACGTATTCCCAGGATGTATCTTGCGACATTCTATTCGATTCTAACGTGCGATCACTTAACTAGATCGAAGAATTCAAGCCCGATGACAATGTCGCCGGTAGTTTTGCGGAAGAATCGTCCTTTGCGACCCTGTTCCCCAAGTATCGCGAACAATATCTGAAGGAAGCTTGGCCGGTGGTGACGAGAGCGTTGGAGAAGCATGGAATCGCCTGTACGCTTGACTTGGTGGAGGGTAGCATGACTGTGAAGACTACTCGTAAAACCTTCGACCCTGCAGCCATTCTGAAGGCTCGTGATCTGATCAAGCTGCTGTCGAGAAGCGTACCCGTTCAACAGGTGAGTTTTCACAGTGACATGGGACCCCCGCCTCATAACTGACGACCCTGGTCCAGGCTCTGAAAATCCTCGAAGACGGCGTCGCATGCGACATCATCAAGATCCGTAACCAAGTCCGCAACAAGGAGCGCTTCGTGAAGCGCCGACAGCGGCTCCTCGGTCCCTCCGGCTCCACCCTGAAAGCGCTGGAGCTGCTCACCAGCACCTACATCCTGGTCCAAGGTAATACGGTCGCGGCGATGGGTCCGTACAAGGGGCTGAAGGAGGTCCGCCGGGTGGTCAACGACTGCATGGCCAATATCCACCCGATCTACTACATCAAGGAGCTCATGATCAAGCGCGAGCTGGCCAAGGACCCCACGCTCGCCAACGAATCCTGGGACCGGTTCCTGCCCAACTTCAAGAAGCGTACGCTGTCGAAGCGCCGCGTTCCCTACAAGGTCACCGACAAATCGAAGAAGGTGTACACACCGTTCCCGCCGGCGCCGGAAAAGAGCAAGGTGGATCTGCAGATCGAGTCCGGCGAGTACTTCCTTTCCAAGGAGGCCAAGGAGCGCGCCCAGAAGGAGGAGGTTATGGAGAGGCAGCGCCAGAAGCGCGAGGAGAAGATGCAGGAGCGGGCCAAGTCATTTGTTCCGCCCGAGGAGCTGGTGGCCGAGGAGAAGAAGAAGGAGAAGAAAGAGAAGAAGAAGCGGAAGCGCGAGGCCGAGGCCGAGCCCGACGTCGACGGCTCCGAGAAGAAGGAAAAGAAGAAGAAAAAGAAGAGCAAGTCCAAAGACGCTTCTTCCGACGGCGAGGCATAGTGGCATTCGTATCACACCTGCCTTTGTGGTTGGGGTTTTCCCTTCTACGACGTTCACATTCAACTTCCGCTTGTCTTTTTTCGTCTGTTTGCTCTTCGAATACAAGGCGCTTAGGCATAGCATGGGTTGGAGTTATTCTTAATTTGTTTCTATACTGCGTTTACACTTGCCAAGGAGGGAAAAGTCACGTCGAAGTTCAATTTATGTATGTATACCAACTGACATGGGAATTCCACAGTGAGAGTTGCTGTCTAGTTCGTCTTCGTTGGAAGTTACTGGCGCCATAATCTATCACATGTTGTCTGAACTCTCTGAACCAAGCATCCTACTCTTGTTCTCCCTCAGAAAGACCTCCTGCTCCCTCCGACTCTTCTCCAGATCAACCCCAAGCACCAAAACCACAAAACTCACCACACTCAAAGCAAACAGGAAATAAAACGGTGTCGACACATTCCCCGAAGGCGAGGCATCGATGATCGCACTGGAGACCAGCGGCCCAATGAACGAGGACGCCTTGCCGATGATGCTGAACAAACTGAAGAACAGAAACTCGTGGCCGCGCGGCGTGACCTCCGAGATCATGATCTGGGAGTAGCTGTACCAGGGGCAGACGAAAAGGCCGTAGAAGGCTTGGTAGAGCTGTTGTGTGCTTGTTAGCAGACGCGACGGGGACTCTATCTAGGAGGCTGCGTTCGGCTGAAGGCTTACCCAAATCTCCCAAGCATGGTGGAAACCGAACCGCTCCGTCCAGATGCCGATCATGCCCCATCCGTCGAGCAGGATGATTCCCACTGCGATGGCGTTGAACATGGTCTTTGTGCCGAGGTTGTAGCGCTGCTGGATGAACCAAAAGGCGTAAATGCCAAGTGCCTGGAGAGATCAAGGTGTTAGCGATGGCGGCTCATGGGGACAGAAGACCCACCTGTGCTGCTATGCCTACGATCAGGAGATAGGTCAGTTGCAGTGTGTTGTATGCGACGATGCTATTCTGCAATGTCGCAATGACCGTGACTGTTGTGTTGAGGGAGTCGCCGAGGAGGAAATATCCTGCAGGAGGGTGCTGGTCAGTTTACCACGAGGGAGAATCTCCACAGAAGGACACGACACGACTTTACCTATCAGATACAGCAGACTCTGCTTGAGTTTCCACACCTCCCTTCCGGCATGGTATAGCTGCGTCAATCCCGCAACGATAATGTTCCGTCCGGGGTCCTGCCCCGGCCGTCGTTTCTCGAGAACAAACCACGGCAGCGAGACGAGCAGCCACACCCCCGAGGCGAACGCAATCAGCACACTCAACCCCCAGTTATTATTCGCCTGGCTCTCATCAACCCTCAGCCCAAACATGATCCCCACGATGACAGCGAGGATCACAATCTCCGCCACAGACTGCACATAGAACGCTACATTGGCCAGCCGGCTCCGCGCCATCATGTCCGCGTTGTCGTACTCGTCCCGCGAGATACTACCCGCTACGTACGCATCTGCGCGATCCTTCATCTCGGCCGTATTCCGCGCCAGACCCGGAAACGCAGCCGTCCAGAACGTCAGCGTCGTCTGATACGCGATCAGCCCTACAATGTACAATCCCACCCCGACGTGCCATTTCTCCTGCGTGTGGACGCCCAACCAGCCGAAGCCGATGGCGTAGGCGATAACCGACAAGACGATCAGGATGTTAGGCCGCCAGGTCCCGAAGTCGGCGAAGCTGCCTATTACTAAGAAGACGACGATCTGGATGGCGAAGGAGATGCCGTTGCTCAGAAGGACGATGCTGTTTATCGAGCGCTCGCGGCCTGCGAAGGGGAGGGTTCCCTGGTCGCCTGCGGCTTGGTAGAGGAGGTTCTGGAAGGCTGTGGGACCGAAATCTACAC